CCCGAAAAATGTTGCGTTAATGGGTCTATAGTGTGGATGATGAAGCCAACATTGAATAGGGGAAAGGTGGGCAAAAAATGGAATGCATCATTATGATGCTAATTAGTTTTATTAACAGGTTTGTCCATGATTGTAGATTGCTAACGGAAAGTAAACAGTTCTGAAGAGGCTCTTGTCCCTGTATATTAAATTATACTCACCATACATTAGGTCTGTCAATAACGTCTCATTAATTTCACTGAAGTCTTCGTTTGCATGAAGATCTTTCACACTGCTGCCTACATAGCAAAACAGCATGCTTTAAGAATATGTACAATACTAATATGTACAATAGCTAACGTAACTACCCCGTTTTCGGCAGACACTAAGGGAGGGCGGGGGACAACCGCAACAAAAGGAGGTCATATGGTGCCAACCTAAATTCGACCCCTCCTCCTAATATTTCGCGAAGTGTCCGCCCCTGCATGAGCAAAAATACTGTATATAACTGTTTTACGTTATTTGTGGAAAATAGCACGATATTACTGTTTTAATTGGTAAAGCTTTTGAAGCATATGTTATTAATGAGGTAATTTATGCTGTAACTTCAGAGTTCAGATTGATGTATGTACGCAATTATATTCACCAAAAAATACAGTACAACTTTTCATTTACACTGATGACTTCATTTTTTATCACTTAATTTTTGCAGCATGTCTCTTGGTACATTTAATAAAGTAAACATAGATGGAGTAGAATTGCTATGTTGCTCTCTTTTACAAAACATTGGCTGAGTCAGAATGCTGCAGCGAAGATGTCCCGTGTAACGTGCGATTGTGTCTTGATCGTGATCATGATCATGATCATCATCATTACCATTGATGGTGATGATCCGAGCGTCAATTAGACCAACATCGCAACCACTAGGAGTTTCAAATCTTACTTACCGTGTTGATCCAGGAAATGTAAACACTTTGTTACGATAACACAACCTGTGTCGCCAACATCACTTAGTGAAGGTCGATAGGGGCATGGTAACTATATAATGCAACAAAATTTAAAGTATTTATTAATTGATCTGACAAAAATGTTATGCAGTACACCCATTTGAACCATGCCAGCCCCAATGCCAGTACTTTGAATTAATGAATAGGTAGATGCACTAAGCACATTGTGTAGCAGAACGGGGGTCAACCTGCAGTTCTAAAACTAAGAAAATAAATTGACTATTTCTATCCTTTGTAGTGGATTTGCGTTTGATAGAACTATATAATATAGAGATTTAATGCAATATGTTGCTCTTATAAGGGCCAATACTTTTGATGTTGAACACATGCATTTGCTGCCCAGTAATTATATTAAGCCCTTGTCAAACGAGAGTGAGAGTTCAAGAGAGTTTGCATGAGAGTTTCCCTAAATTACGTGCCTTGCTCAAACGAGGACAAACAAACAACCGAGAAAAATATAAAACTGGAAATATAGCCTTCTTGTGGAGGTAAACAGGTAAATAGTAACCAACACATGCACCTGACAAATAACGAAACATATACCTGTAATATGCGTTTTTTACTACTGTACAGAAGATATAATATTAGCTTACCATTTGAAAACATGTAGCAGATGACTGAACTGCTAAGGTTATTAGATGGACTGCTAAATATATAACGGTTTCTGATAATGGGGTCACATTTGACGTGGCCTATGATAGAAAAACATCAATATAGTTGAACAGTATTACATGAAATAAAAGAACTTTACTGTAAATTACACAAACTGGCTGAGTTTCTATGCGTGACTATAACTTTTAACTTTTTCTTTTACAATACCTTATACAATATTAAGTATAACATCTGATGTAATTTCTTGCAGTGAAGTAATCTAAATAATCCAAAACAGCATATATGTACTATTCATTACATTTTACAAAACTTTGCGGTACATACATACAAAACGTGTGTGTATTTCACTCTACCCTTGATTAGATCGAATCAGATTGTTTGAAAGCTTGTTACTGATAGTTAATATGAAACGTGTGATACATGTAAATGGCATACTGACTTTTGCAGTTAACTTGGTCTCACAAAAGAAAAGTAAGCAGAGACTACATGTGGGAAACACGAAACCCTGACGAACTAAAGGCAGCAATAGTGGAAGAGGATTTTGTTACTCTGATACAAATAGAAACCCAGCCTATAGTAAGTTATTCAGGGGTAGTAAGACTATAATGAAAGGTTAAAAAGATTCTTAAGGCCTATATCCAAATATACAAGCACAATCATGTTGAAAATTACATACCTAAACAGACCGTTAAACGATTTTGGAACTGGAGTAAGAGGTCGAAATGGTGGCCATGCTGATGTCACATACGACGAGTTATGTTGCCGTAAGCTGAAGAAAAGAGATGCGATGCAGAATGGATTAAAACAAGTTTAATATTTATTATACTCACGGGCGGACTTTAGGACGGGAGGGGGTGGCGAAAGATTAAAACAGGGGTTAAGATCTCTAAAAGATAGCTGATTTACTAAGTAATTAAGTTGTCACAACGTCTTTTCAAACATGAAAACCTGGTATTTTATTCATTATAAGAGAAAAAAAGGCATTTAATTGAAGCAAAAAAGGTTTAATTGCACCAAAATTTACAGCAACAAATTAAATGAACGGGAACACGTTGAGATCTTATACATGTAAATTCACAGTCCCAATATTTTATGTGACCAATACTGTACATGCATTAGTTTTAACACTGAACCTAATTATTTCACAATTTTTGTAAATTGCCAATTTGTAAAAACAAGCTAGTCAATGCAAGTATGTTATTGAAACATGCATAAAACTCGCGCGCACATTCAACAAAATGGAATACCGTTGACACTTACTGAGTAGTATATCGATCCATTGCAGACTGAAATTCTCGTCTATTGAATGCTCTTAATAAAGCATGAACAGGATCAAAATGTGTTTCCCAGAATTGTGGTTTCAATGTGTACATTCCTTGTTGCATACCACTGCTGTCACAACCTGGATGTTTGTAATCAGAGATCTAAAACACAGAGCAAGATACATATCGGATTAAGACAACCCATATAGCAAGATGTAAGAAAAGACTCCACAAAACACTGTAACCGTGAAAGAAAAGTCCTCTCATTATAACAAATTGGAACTGTGCTTGGATGCTATTTAAACTAATAAAAAACAAAACAAGACATTATAATAAAGTTCATTACCTCATTCAAAATTTTTTCAAAGAGTTGGGCATTCAATGTTTGACCATATCGCTCTGGTACGTGATAAAGTTAAGAAAAAATTCTCATATAGTGCTGACATTCATATAACTGTTCTTCTAAATCCCAATAAACATTCTTAAAGATGCGGTGAAGTCTGCTCTGCGCATGCGGACATTAGAATCGCCATAATACGTGCGTTCTTCCAAACCATGAACGTGCTATCGTGATAATTTATTTTACTCTGGAAGCAGGAAAATATATTTAGTTTATAAAGTTCATTATTTGGATACAAAAAATGTAAAAAAAACCTGACACATGTAAACAGACTGTACTGCATCTTTATACACTGTATAACTGTATAACTACCGTATCTTGAGCACTTTGAGCAGTATTCATGCATACGTTTATAGATCTTTATAGCAACCTCATACCCAGGGCTTCTGAGAGCCACAAGTACGAGGTTGATGTTTATAGAGACTTACTGGCATGCATATGTGCTCGAGATATATAGTGCCTTACCATTATTATCTCAATACTTAGTCATGAGCAGGACCACTTTGGGGCCATTCAACAATTACGTCATCAAAGTTTGGGCTATTTTAAGCCCCCTCGTCATCAGCCTAACTACCTTACTCTATATCCCCATCCTTATAGAAGCAAAAAATTAGAAAGGATTCATTATATATGTGCTTACTTTAAAGTGGAAGTCAAGTCCGTATGTAAACAAACGGTTGTTTACATTTTGAACTGCTGTATTTTTTTTAAATATGATGTACTGTCTGAATATCTAACACTATTTTGGTTCGCTATGCTTCTAAATGAATATGAAAAAGAGTTTATGTTCAGAAAAATTCGAAACATTCGAAATTTGGGCAATGTTTACATTAGAGGGTCCTCACATTGTTATGAGCAGAACCGATGCGCAGAACGGACTTGACTTCCACTTTAACTTTTAACTAAGCTTGATCCAATTAGCCACTTACAAATAATACATCATCTTTTAGTCTTAAGATTATTCAATACTTCTAGTAATAGCAATATTATAACTGGAAATATAAATATATTTTAGTAATTTGTTTTTTATGCTCATAGACCTATAAATAATTAGTTATTGCCAAATCTGATTGGTAATGGGTGAATATCTTCTCCATTATTGATGACATATCATCTTCACCAATAACCCCAACCCAATGTAATCAATTATAATCCAAATAGGTACCCTCCCCCCTAGATGATGACGTAATTGACGAAGGGTTCCTTCATATAAATTGGGATGGAGTTATAGAATTAGATATGATCTGTAGAATTAGGTATGAACGGTTTGTGCCAGTGGCGCCAGTAATAAGAAAGCTTTGGATTGATAGGGATACAACTGCCTTACATCCTACCTCTCCTTGTATTTTTCAGGTAGACTAATCCTTATCAATCCGAAACTTTCTCAGAATTAGATACGACATGTTCTCGTTCAACAAGTAGTAATTAAATTAAAAGGATATGAGATCAACAAGTTGACTATGTGTTCTGTCAGAGAAACATAAGAGCGTAACCATTTCCAAACGCAATGTTTCTTCTACACCCATTCCTGCAAGATGTGAAAATTTAAACATGAGCGATTTTGAAGGAGCATGTGCATGTGTTGTTTGTTTTGATATTCAATTATATTTTTTATGTTAGTGTGCAGTTTAAGGTATTAAAATGCTACGTCTTAGGAAAGGTTGTCCGTACTCTTATATGGGAAACAATGGTGCGGTATGTTTGATCTGAGAGAACATGACATAAATCCAGTGCTGCTTCAAGCAAAATTGATAATACATGAATTTTGTGCATCAGATCATATTATTTTTATATAAAACCTCTGTATGATCAAACCATGCTGAGCTCAGTAATATAAATGCGTTTTCCGCATGTGCAATCTGTTCTTTTTCTCAAGTTTTAAAAAAAGTTGATAATGAACTTCTGTCAGTGTTTGGTTTACTGCACCTGTGGCTGCAGATGACAAGCAATGCAGCACCAGTGCTGGAAATGGCTGGCAGCACCAGCAACGCCGCTGCCAGGAAATTTTTAACAACATATCTTCGCCGGGAATTTTCTTATATCGAAACTGAAATTCCATGACTGCAGATGACAAGCAATGCAGTACCAGTGCTGGAAATGGCTGGCAGCACCAGCAACGCCGCTGCCAGGAAATTTTTAACAACATATCTTCGCCGGGAATTTTCTTATATCGAAACTGAAATTCCATGACTGCAGATGACAAGCAATGCAGTACCAGTGCTGGAAATGGCTGGCAGCACCAGCAACGCCGCTGCCAGGAAATTTTTAACAACATATCTTCGCCGGGAATTTTCTTATATCGAAACTGAAATTCCATGACTGCAGATGACAAGCAATGCAGTACCAGTGCTGGAAATGGCTGGCAGCACCAGCAACGCCGCTGCCAGGAAATTTTTAACAACATATCTTCGCCGGGAATTTTCTTATATCGAAACTGAAATTCCATGACTGCAGATGACAAGCAATGCAGTACCAGTGCTGGAAATGGCTGGCAGCACCAGCAACGCCGCTGCCAGGAAATTTTTAACAACATATCTTCGCCGGGAATTTTCTTATATCGAAACTGAAATTCCATGACTGCAGATGACAAGCAATGCAGTACCAGTGCTGGAAATGGCTGGCAGCACCAGCAACGCCGCTGCCAGGAAATTTTTAACAACATATCTTCGCCGGGAATTTTCTTATATCGAAACTGAAATTCCATGACTGCAGATGACAAGCAATGCAGTACCAGTGCTGGAAATGGCTGGCAGCACCAGCAACGCCGCTGCCAGGAAATTTTTAACAACATATCTTCGCCGGGAATTTTCTTATATCGAAACTGAAATTCCATAACATGTTTATTATTTAAAAACTCCCAAAAATGCTTCAATTTGAACTGGAAATTGTCTTGTGCATGCAGAGATTGAAGTTTCACCATACATTCTCATCATACATTCTCACCATACATTCTCACCATACATTCTCACTATACATTCTCACTATACATTCTCACCATACATTCTCACCATACATTCTCACCATACATTCTCACCATACGTTCTCAGAAACCTACCTACGCAGGAAGTTGGAATTTTGCTGCCACCTACCACAATGAAGTCTGCAGCTCAAGAGAGTTAGAATCAAGGTTAGTACACCTTCCACCATCATTTCTTTATTATCATCATCAATACCAGGAGAACATGACTCAAGTTCACTGGGAAACTGAAACCAATGCTCAACACGAAATCTGTATGGTGATTGAAAAATTATTTGTCATTCATTAGTTAGTCACTCGAAAATATTTCATTACCATTTACCATATTTAGAATTCTAAATTAGAAACATACAGTATATGGAAAATATACAGTTAAAAGACTCTTATAAACGTCATGAATAGCGGGGTTTTTTTGAAGCAGTTTAAAAAGCTTACCTCTCAATTAAAACACCTAGAAAGTATTCGGGATCCAATTGTGCAGCGCAAATCTGGAAGAAAACACCCAAATTCTCTGAGTTGAAATTTCATGCCACACCAGTACAAAGAGTCATGGCTTCATTATTTTGATTCATTATTTTATTTCTGACAATATTGGGAGGGGGGGGGGGATTAACAGGGTTCGTAGTCTCCAAGAGGAAAAAAAATCACAGACTTGCCAAAAATATTTTCAGCCTATTTTCAAAGACTTTTCAAAGACCTTTGAGAGCAATCAGCTATTGAAAAATTGCGATTGCATAAGCGCCATTTCTACTCGGTAATTGGTCCCGTTAAATCGCATCCTAAAATCATAGCCTAAAATGCGCCTTCTTTTGCTGTAATCGATCTATTTTATCAGTTATCAGCTACGGAATTGTATATATATAGCAAATACTGTACTCACTAACAAACTTAAAGACTTTTAAAGACTTTCTTCGCTTTTACATACAATTCAAAGACCTTTCAAAGACCCTAAAGACTTACATTCAAATTAAAAGATTTTCAAGAATTTCAAAGACCGCTGTGGACCCTGATTAAGGTTCAGGGCGGCAACGCGGTGAACGTGTACCGAAAAAATTACCAGCGAAATTGAAAACCAGATTTCAAGCCTGAGCGGTTTGTTCCAATCCAAAGCTTCGCCTGTCCGATGACTTCAAACCTGGTTCAGTCCAAATTCGAGATTGCGGTGCCATAAAATTTCGGAATCATAAGGTTTGATCTTTATTCAACAGTATTTCTTCACGCTTGTGGTACGGTTGTGTGCTGTTACGCATGCGTAATAGTTAGGTTGGCTTCAAATGACATCTCCCAAATCCTAAGTTGGCTAATTTCCTAGTGATGCCATGCGTGTTTTCCACGTCATTACTGCTGTTGTGGTTGTATTGCCGTCCCTTATCTAAATACTACAGCAGCTGATGACTGATTAGACTTGCCATAAGTTCACCTCTTCAATTTTTCCATAGGTTTTCTGAGCGAATTTTTCCATAGCGAGTAAAATAAAAATGATGTCTTTGACTTTGCGAAAGTCTATAATGACTGATGAAATGATCGCATTGTTCCATTTGGTTAAAAAATTTGCAAGAAAATTTTAAAGAAGAAAATTTACCTGAAGAAAGAAGATGTCTAAATCGAGCATGGAGTTGGAAAAATGACATTGATGGTACCAGGCACTCTGTGCATGAATCTGATGTCCATTACGAGCCCACATACCAGTTCTGATCTCACAAACTGCAGCCTATATTAGAATATCGAGATGAATCAGAAAAAATAACAAGAATAGTTCAAAATCACCTTAGAATAGTTTGACACTATAACATCGATTGCATTTGTTTCAGTTTGACTCTTTGAAATGCTTTCCTCTTGCAGTAACACTGGACCAATAAAGGAATGGTTCTCAATTCTGGGGTGGGGAAGGGGAATTCAGAATTGATAAAACTTCTCAGTGTAATAAATAGTGCAACAAAGAGATATGAATCTTGTACATAGAGTTGTGTAGCTCTCCTACCTGAATGCATGTTGGCCACTCCAGTAACTTAGTTAGAAGACCAAGATCAAATTTAAATTCCTCAAAATCTATCATGAACTGTAGCATTGCCTAGAATGGACAGACGACAAAACAACTCTTTTTAATTAAAAAGACTGGAATTTCAGCTTCGAAGTTACTTGTAAAAACAAACCTGTTTAACAAATGCAGAAAAACAACGAAGTAAAGGAAGATGAAAGGTGACTTCAGCTCTTGAAGGCTGCAAAATATAAATAAATTACTATTGTAGGTACTGCATTTATTGTCAAGTAGACAAGTACGTAACTATATATATGTTAATTGTTTTTTATCCTGTCTTTATAAACGTATCAAGAAAGCGTTGACAAAAGCAATCAGGAATAAATGTGTCATGTACGCCATTTTAATAGTAAGAAATGGAAAATACAGTGTAATGCATGAAAACTAAAATTCAAAAGTGTTCCAAAGTCAAGTCCTTTCAAATATTTTGTATACCTGCAGAGCGACTTTCTTTTGCCATCTATCCAATGCCACCGATATTTGCTGGAGAACATTTAACATACACGTTTTGTCATTCTAAAATAAAAGGAAATAAATTGAGAAGACATGCAATGAACGCCAAATCAAAAAGTTCAAATGAAGTCCAAATACACTCTTCTGGAAAACCACACCTTGGCAATAAGTCTCACTTTCATGTGTTTTAGACTTTGTAAAATAGTTACTGTAGCCCAGCGGGGAAAGTTAGAGCTTAGGCAGAGCAAGATATAGCTAATCACACTAGTATTGGAGTAAGATATACTGTAACTTAGTAATCAATGTAGCTGACAATAGGCAGAGCAAAAAACAAATCAAAAGGATAAGGCGTGATTTCCTTAGGATACTGACGTCATTGAATGCCCACACAGTGCAGACCGCTTTCATGTTTGAGACTTAGAAATAGTTAGTCCATGCAGTAGCAAGATAGACTGTAGCTAATCAAAGTAACTGACAGGCAGAGCAAAAATGTAGACCACGATGATAAGGTGCGAGAAAAATCGTTAAGGTATAATGACGTCACATCACGCACAGCGCAGACCTAACATCGACTTATTAACCTACATGTCAAATGATTTGCTTAACCGCATTTGAATAGATAGAATATAGACTAACCAAAACCGACACTTACCAAGACCGATGAGGCAGCAATAAGACTCCACATTGGAGAGGAAGCAGCCTCTATTTCAATAAAGTACGCTGCATTGTATGTAGTTGGTTCATACTTTATGTGCTCCGTCACAACACGTTCATTACAGTTCATCCCTTGTAAAAGATGTACATCGTGACAAAGTTAATCCTAGATCTACAGTAATTAATATGGTATATGGACGTGCCTATTTTAATAGCCAATATTATGTTATAGCCGTTTTCCCTCTGTTTTTAGTCCGACTTCCCTTGTAAAAGCGAGCTAGCATCTGGTACAATTAGCCATTCCGAAGCTGGTGTAGAATATTAGCCATTCCGAAGTTGATGAGAGGACTGGGACGAATGTTCAAAAGTGCCCAAATTACGAAATGAAGTTTAAAGACATTTACATGAATACTCTTCGGATAATTATAAGCTTTCGAAAATCGCGATATTTACTCTGAAATGTACTGTAATTTTTGTTTTGGGGGACGCGCGTCCCAAAAACAATCATTTAATCAGTAATTTCACAATTTTCGAAAGCTTATTATTCAAAGGGTATTCATGTAAACGTCTTCAAACTTTGTATACTTACAAATTTTGAGGTGGTCGTTTTAGTGATTTGATTCATATCTTAATTTGGGCACTTTTAACACTCGTCCCCAGTCCACTCATCAACTTCGGAATGGCTAATTGTGCTGGGTTTATATAGTATTAAGACTGAGCTTTAGCAGTGACTAAGAATACTAGATTTCACAGTGAGAGGTGTGGTATCTAACATTTATAGGGTCTGATATCTTGATCATCCAGTTCATAGATGGTTAGCCCAAATTATAGGTACATTTAAAGACCTGATTCGATACATACCTGTTACGCAAGCTACGAAGTTCATCCACTTCTCAAGCAAATCAGAATCTTTCATAAAAATGTACGCAATCGTATGATGAGTAACAACATTGATAAAATCACTGATGATTGGCCAATAACAATGATATTTAATCACTTCCTTGTCACAATTGATTACCAGATGGTCTACTAACTGACCTGTGAAAAAGGAAAACAGGAACATTCCTTAAAAGTCAAATTAATACGAATTCGGGTTTATTTCACTGGAAAAGTTGATTAAGGCCCCAGTTACACGATACCGGATTCGTATCGGAGCGGTATCAATTTAAGGTGTTTTCCAGTCTTGTCTGCTCTTACAACTTTTCATATTTGAATAATTAATTATGTTATATGATCATAATTTTAAGTGCCAAATTCACCTCGAAGCAGTAAAATTTGATGTCGCTCCGATGCGAATCCGGTATCGTGTAACTGGGGCCTAAGAGAACATGCGAAATGTTGAATGATAATTTCCAGCTCAAATATAGCAACAAATCAGTAAATCACAACCAATTTGGTTTGCAAAATGACTTAGTAAACAATCCAAAAGATAGCGACGCAGGCTAACAATTAACGTACTGCATCTATTATTGCACATGTTGTTAGAATTTAGCTTATAATCATCGTGGGTTTGTATGAACGTCTTTTTGTGGCGCTATGCAGTTGTCTGATTATAATTTTGCTCGATAGTATAATCGCAAATGAGAAGAGTCCTTCCCTCACTAAAACTCTGGGGAAAACAGCAAGCGCATTTATTTTTACAACGTAGTCTCGACGCCTTGAGAACATCCATCGTCAAAATGTTTATTGAAAGTTACAACAAAACAGCTGCCGTTCCATATTCAACTGGAATATAATATAATATAATATGTGTACCTTACATGAACTTACCATTAACCTTCACGGGATGTAACGTTGTTCTCATCATTTCCAACAAAACTTTAACCATTACATGCAATAAATTTTGTTCTTGAACCATCTTTGTCACAAGAGACTGATTACTAAACAGTTGCACACTAATATGAACGATACTGTTTGATAGCTGTTCCACTTCATGTAACGTTGAACACAGCGTCAATAATTTACCAATTTCCTGGTACTTTTGACAAAACTTTTGTGTAAAGGCAATCTTGTTAAATAAAAATAACGTCATTGTTAATATTGCTGTACTTTTACGTTATGAAGAACAAGAAAGTCAAATCACTAATTCACCAGTGTTAAAAATCAATAAGTTGTTCATTTATCATCTCACATCTTGTCAACAAGCTTGTCAAAAATACTGTATGTACCAACGTTATGATTTTATCAAGTAGGTATACAACGTTGTCATTCACAACTTGGTAACAAATTTTTGAATTGCAGGACAATAACATTATATTGGAACAACTTCTAACAACAACCTGGTAGGAATTTGTCAACAAGCCGTTGGTAACTTGACAACAAACTATAGGAAGAAGCAATGCGAACACATACTGATAATAAGTTGTTGAAACGATAATTGGTACAAGTCTGTTGCAAGTTTATTACAAGTTGTGCGTTTTTGCGTGTGTATACAGTACGATAAAAACCCTGCATAAAAGAACCAGCATGCACAATTTTCTTACTGTATATAGGTACTTAGTCAGAAATCATGCAGGCTGAGTCGGTTCATAACTGCAGGTTCTTAATTCTTATCAAAAACAGTTATTCCTGGTTTAAACCGTTTAGTGTTTTAAATTATTTCTTTCCCAATATACAGAGCTGTTGGCAGTATTTTGCTGTACATAATAATTGCAATTTAAAAGCCTCAGGATTTGGTAAATGTATCCTCGGTGAGTACTAACAGATTATATTTTTGCATTTGCAATAGTATTAAATCAAACATAATAATCTGCCAATACCTGCCCTAGAACATGCATTGTAAAGGGGTTTTAACAACCAATCTCACTTGTCAGCCTGAAGTGCTTCTTTTGTTTTGCGTGCTTAACTGCTTAAATTTCAGACTGGTGGTTCTTAACCCACTGGTTCTTTTATGAGGGTTTTCACAGTACCTGAAAAAAAGATTTTAAAAAATTTTGGTGTTTCAAGCGAAAACCATTCGTCAAGTAAGAGTTAATTACCGAGAAGGAGGGCTTTATGCTATATACAGCCCGGAGAACGCGAAGCGTTCGAGGGCTTTATATAGCATAAAGCCCGACATTCGAGGTAATTAACTGACTTATTTCATGATTGAAGAGGTTTTCTAACAAAGTTTTATTCTTTTTTTTTCGATTTCGACAAGTATTTTTCTTGTTTTCTCGCTTATTTCTTGACTAATTAGGGCTTTATGGTATTCAAGGGCATTATGCTATATACAGCCCGCGGTACATCAAAGAAAACCGAGTCAATCATGAAATAAGAGGTAATACACCCCTCAGTATCCACACTGGAACCCTATAATTGAATTATGACCATATTGTTGGAAAGACGTTCACAAAAAATTCTTTTGACATTTTGTTCCTGGCCTCAGCTATGGAATAAATATGCATGTTCACGCCTATGAACATAAAAGCATATATAGGGCAGCATCTCCTTCTCCACCAACAAATTCTGACATGAGAAATAAATTAAATACAATCTTGTCATAACGCTTTGCGTAATTTCTTAGTATTTAGTCAGGCTCATTTGCATGATACTTTTGATGCCTTTATGGATTGGCCTCAGGTTCGAACGATTTATCTTCCGTTTTTCAAACGGAATTTTGGGGGGAGTTTATTAATAAGATACCAGACTTGATCTTGTACCAGAGTTTAAATCTTCCCCCTGAATACATGCATCATACCGGTACATACCTTGTATTCCTGATTGGGCAACAACTGAAGAAGAAAGGTGACCAACTTTTCTGGAAAATCCAACTTTATCACAATGTCCAATAATAAATCTAAAAAGCTTGCCGATTCACGTTCATAACAATTATTAGCGCTATCATAGGAACATATGGCTGATAGAAAGTGAAAAGATGAACACGATTGTTCACTATCAACACGTCTTAACTCTTGATCAGACTGACTAATATCAAAACATTCTTGTACCATAGCATCACATATTACACTCCGTAATACTTCTCCTTCGCATAACTCTTGTAGAAAGTCCACAATTTCATCAACGTCTTCATTGCCGGATAAAATAGAATCCTCTGTTAGGAAAGGATTAGAATTAACTGAATGTAAGAAGTATATACTTTTGAGGACGTGATTATTTGTGTTGTTCTATTCCGAACTGTTGTTAGATGACATGGTGACGCTGTGTGCAGCGGAAATGTGGGCTCAGAGGAAGGTTGAAACTAAACTATAAGAATGAGGTGAAAACGCTATGAAGGATACAAGGAGGTTAGTTAAAAGAATAGCTTGAGTCTCTATAGAGCTGAAGGAAGAATCAAAGGCCATTGAGGCCGACTCACGGATGAGATCAAATGAAAGTGACAGAAAGAATTAGAGCAGTTTGCAGTTGTTTTTGCAAACGGGCACCGAGCGAATTTTGCCATTTGTCGTGCTTCTTTTGCCAAATCAAAAGAACGAACGCGTGCTCCAGCCCGATTTCCGGTTCTGAAAGGCCCGATTCGCAGGCAAACAGTGCGCGCAAAGCAGGCTGGTCGTTTCCCATTGTTTAACTGCGTCACACTCAAGTAACCAAAAAGACTCACAGATGTTGCTTCGCAACATCCGTGAGTCAAAAATTGACATTCGGTTGTATGATTGTATAAAGGACATATGGGTTGTTTACCATTTACATGGAAATTCCGGTGATTCCATACGGAAAGTAAATGGAACAACCATATTTCGACGGCCCAACCGGAACTTTTCCAGAATGAACGGTTTGTTTGAAAAGGTTGTCCTCTCTTACCGATTGGAACGTTTCAACCTGTGAATTTTGTCCCATTTACATCTTTTTTATTTTTTCACCAGTTCCAGGCTCTTCGCGATTTAATTCAAACCGGATGGGTTTTCCATGTAAATGGTAAACAACCCTTCAGTGCCTTCCGGTCAGTCACTCTAAATGGAAAGCGCATAATCCGAATGGGATTTTCTATCCGAAATTTTGCTTACCATTAGCACAATTTCAAATTAAACCGGATGGGTTTTCCATGTAAATGGTAAACAATCTTGACTAAAACGGTATGGGAGGAACTTGTAGGAGGACAGAGATTCACAGGGGGTCAAAGGAAAAGATAATGTGATGGAAGGGAGATTGGACTAACGCACGATGATCCACCTCCTCCGCAGGCCGTAACCTTGAAACGAGTATAACTGGAACGCTACCTCCAACCGAAAATTTGAAGGCAACCAAACTTAAAGGCCGGTCCCAGTCTTTTCACGCATGCGAAGAGCGCGATCAATCCATCAACCTGAATTCTTGAAAACCGGCTTAAAATTTAAAAAAAAAACTTTTTTAACAGCGCTCAAATGCATTGATTCAGGTAAAACTTCTTTGTATATTAAATATAGTTTTTTCTTTGTATATAGTTTTTTCTAATAATTTATTATTGAAAGGGCATTTTTCTGGATTAAAAGTGTGCCGCGAGAGACATATAAACGCGCGTGTTTTGACCCGTCAGATTTGGCTTCAATAAAAAGATAGGCAGTTTATCTGAAGGTAGCGTTCCAGTTCTATTCATTTCAATGGGTTGTAATGAATTCCCAAATTTCGCAGGGCGCGAAATAACGGCCGTGGCCACGCCTTTGGCTTAAGAGCCAAGACCATGCTTTTAGCCCAGTACAAGCTGTTTTATGTGAAGGAATTTTTAATTACTGATTACAGTAAGGCTTTTTGTACTGCTATACTGGGAAAATACCCACATTTTTAGGGGTATACTTTACTAGGCTTTGCTTTAAGCTGAATAATTTGACCGGCCAGAAATTCGGTATGTCCGAGGTAAAATTGAGTTGGCTAGCCTGCGAACAGGCTCTCAAGGTGAAATGAGAGCCTGCATCGATGACTAATGAATTTGAATATCTGCGTCTCAAATCGTGACGCGAAATTCTCATTGGTCAGATGCTATAATTTATATGTTTCCGCTGAACTCTATATGTCAACTGCTGAAGCACTATGTATAAAAAACACATTAACTGATCAAATTGGTCTTGGTCATCTTATCTCAAAGCACGAAATGTTCTGTTTTGAGACAACAGTATTTAAAACAACTTTTGCTTGAATATCTTATATTTCGAAAAACATTATAAACTGTACGGTCTAAATTTAGTTTGCACGGTCTAAATTTAGTTTGCACGAAAGTTGTAAACAACACCATATAAGGATAGACATTCCATATTTGGAAAAACGAACGTTACGGGGCAGATATTCAAAATTGTATATCATCAGTGCAGGCTCTCATTTCACCTTGAGAGCCTGTTCGCAGGCTATTGAGTTGGCCGGTCACCTTGACCGCCGACCCTCCAGCCGTTATTTCGCGCCCTGATTTCGTAAGGTACAGTAAGGCCTGCGGAGGAGGTAGCAGGATGATGCAACACAGTTACATACATCGAGACAATACAAAAGAAGACACAACTTCTAAACATAGGGGGAAAGAAGATGGCTTGGTCCATTTTGTTTTTCGAACACAAGTGAAACAGCTATAACCATAATTTTCTCCGGTATACTGCATAAAAAAAGACTAACTTCCATTAAATATTTCACTCAGCCTATACCTTAGCGTTATATAGAGTAGAGATATTCGACGCCAATACCTGAATTTTGTCGCGGTTCAACTTCTTTGTACAGTCTATTAAACAGTTGAGGAATTACAGCTTTGGCCATATGCAGCGCATCCGCGGGAGGACGTGACGACGATGATCTGTGTTTACCATGAGAAGTACAAAACCTAACAACAGTAGACATACTTAGAATAAATCTGTAATACACAGTATTTATGCAAGTTTTCCAACTAACACTACAACAAGACATCTACTAAGGACTATCTGTACAACGGACATCACTCAACAAACAGAAAGTCCAGGTCCTGATTTTGTACTTATGTAACATCTTTTTTATTGAAACCTCTGAATAACGCACACCTCCAATCTAACCATAACAACTACCTCTATGACGGACAGTCAGGTTCGATCTCAAAGTGTTGGTTATATGTACATGGGGTTCCAGTTCCTGTGTAATTCTGATACCACTCTAACAACAATAGTTTCTATTGTCTTCACCTGAATTTCTACTCATTAACTGCATTTGAATTAAATGAGCTTATGACTTCTGGTGATACACAGTGGTTAAAACTGCCCCAATTTATGTCCAGTATAAGTGTCATCCCATGCATATTGGTTCAGTACTAGTGCAGAGGAAACCAGAATACCCATAATCCCAATCCATGTTGGCATTAAAAAAATAATGAGAAGAGCGCGGCAGTCTAGGGACCTAAAAGTGCGTATCCTATTGAAGACAATGTCAAACAACTTTTAATATTTCACAGGATTATTCTGTAATAAAATTTAAACACTTCACCGTTTCTCAGACAAGCGTAAATAGTCGTCATGAAATATTTAGCACACTTTAATTGAATGAAACTCCACACTAACCAACCTCGTATACCCAGAACGTATTATGTGTCTTTTAGCTCTACGACAGGAGTTTGATTGATACAAATGAATGTGCATTTGTGTGATCGTAATTTCTCATCACTGACATACATGTGAGAATACTATACCAGTCTGACTCTACCATTACTACCAAACGTTGCAGATCTTTTCTCCATGCATTTAAGCCCAGTACAGACGAGCAGGTTTTCCTTTCAGACAAGTTTACTTACTCGTGTATACGGTCAAGAAGTTTTCCTTGACAATTTTCTCTTGACAAGTTTTGTTGCTCATATGCAAGGAATGTTATTGAACATTTATCTCAAGACCGCCTTTTGTTGGCCAAAACCACAGAAGTAGTTCTTGTGCACTTGTCATGTTTCACTTGGCGAAGAAAAAAGCTGGCATGACTATTGATAGCTGTGGAACAAGGCTCCTTGGCAAGGAAATCATTTTTTTCCGTACACGCGAGCAAATAAAACTTGTCAAGGAAAATTTGTTAAGGAAAATTGATCGTTTGTACGAGGCTTTGTAGTAAGTGCATGAAACATTTTCGTTTTGAGTCTGTTATCGCGTAATTAGAAATCATACCATGAGAATGATTCTGAAATTTTGGACATGTATATACGACATCACCAAGTGCAGTATAATATAAAAGGTGTTTCAATTGCCAATTGTACAGTATAGATTAGGTTGCCAAAAGGTTCACCCCTTTGTTGCTGTAAATTTCAGTACCTAAACATTTTTCCTCAAAATTTTATGCTCATTTAATATTATCAGCCAATATGAGCGAAATCACTGTGTTGGAACTTACTGTATGGTATTGACTACATTGGATTTCTTTGTTATCAGCTCATCTCTAGTATAATATTATTCACTTTTGATTTCTTTGAAAGCGCTGAAAGAAGTCTTTCATTCATTAAACTTCTCAGCCAGGAAATATTAAAAATCTTTCAAGGATTTATTAAATAATTAAATTTATGAATAACACAGAAATATTTGTTTCACAGCCCACATGGCATGGAATATGTTTATTTTATAGCCTAAATATATCATGCATATATGTCAAAGTAGGAATTTTGTTGTCCAATCCACAAACTACTTGGATTGTCAATGTTACAGTAAGTTTCTGGGGAGAAAAGCAGCTGCTTAGCAACAAATGAGCAAATGTTTGCAAAACCTCTATTACTGTGTTTCCAATGCTCAGGAAAATTGCCAAAAGTAAATAAGTTAAATATAAACATTCTGCAGCTGTTTTGTTTAATTTTAATTTTAAAGTGAAGGTGTTTCTAACATTTTGACTCCAAAATAATACTTAAAATAATAGGAGTGAACTTCACAGTCTAATAATGGTACACGCTCATGGCTACAAAGCCCTACTCACAAAGGTCAAAGGTCAATCTGCTTTTACAAACAAGCACGAAAAAATCTTGAAAATACTACCAGGCCTTTCTATGATGATTTCAAGCAAAAATTGGCAAACACCTCTACTTTTGTAACCCTATCAAATCATTTTTTAATCTGAAAAGAAGGCCTGAACTTTATATAAACAATATCCAGTATCCGGCCATGTTAGAAATATCTGCTGAATTTCCGGTGCATCCCTAGATTGGTATTTATCTTGAGTGCTGTAATTATGTTAATATAGTGCAATACTTTATCATATAAAATAACGCTGATTATATTAACAGATTTGATAGTGTGTACTAAGAATATTTTTACCTCAACATTCAATATTCCTACCTGCATTATTCATATTCCTATTGTAAATGTTCATATTGACATTTAACCCATTGAGCACCATTTGACAGCTGCCTAATATTGTGAGAATATAGGTACATACTGTATGTACATGTACCAGTGAATGTTTGACAGGAAAATGCCAATGGGCAACGGTTATCAGTGGTTTAACCCATTAAGTTGTACTGCACCCCAACTGTGCCCACTATATTATTTTTACTCTGTCTAACACCAAATAATTTTACTCATCAAGGGGAGAGCACTGGTCAGGGCTTGAAATTTGCAATATCCCAATATCCACAGGATACCAGATTTTAAATTTGGATACCACAAGCTTTGGATCCATTGGGACATTAAACAAAAACAAATTCCTTTCCACAGGAACTTTGTTGTTGTTGTTTATATTTTGCCATATCATACCTGAATGTACAGTATGTGTTATCATTCACCATGTCTGTGTTTGCAAATTTTGCATGCTCTTTTCCAGTGGCTCTGGGGTTTTTTGGCAAATAAATGCTTGTTTTCCCTTTATTGTTTCAGTATTTGATTACTGTCTATCTATTATCCAACTGTGGGATACTAGATTTTCTGGGTGGACACCAGATTAAGTCACTATATGGATAGTGCTAAGAATTTCAAATTTTAAACCCTAACTTGTGCTAAATTGGTTAATCAGACTATCTACCCATGTGTCCAGTTAAGTTTCATTACACCCCTTTGCTCTGTCTAACAGCAAACAATTTCACTTGCCAAGGGAAGAGTGCTGCCTGGTGATCAATGGGTTATTAAAGTTTTCCTAACACCAAAATTTTACTGTTTCATTGGAAAGAACATTTAAACCTATAGATAATTTCTTTTTCAAATTTCTGTTCCTTTGCTTGTTTGTGAATATGTTTGATATGGCAATTATCCTACATTGCATCACACATGCATGACCTGCTATATATACCATAGAATGTAGAAGATGTTGACTATTATCAACTGGAAACACTAAATTTTGTCCATGTTTGGTGTTTATTTCAAAAACAACACCCATTCTTTTTATGAGTGTTTTTAATTGAAAATGACCAAGATAAAAAGCTTTCAAATTTTGCAAGTCATTATGCATGTGTAGCACAACATAACTACAGTAAATGTATTTATTATACTGAAAAACTGATTTTAAAATACCTCATAAATAGAGCAGTTGTGTTTGGGGCACTGTAATGAAATATTTGCTTTGGTTGTCCAAGGCTGTCCATTAAAAAGTGGTCATCAAAGGCTATGTTTACAGTGTATTAATTGGATAGCTTTCCAAACACCTACTGTATGTAGATCCATACCTTTTTGGAACACTATTTTCAGAGAAATTATTGTAACAGGGAGATGTTGTTTTGCTCAGCTTCTGAAAGTTGCACATTCTGCATCGGATAGGTGCTTTTTCGCACCACTACAAAAAGCTATGCGGTATAGTGTAAATAAGGTAGCCTAAAATTCAAATATGACCATCCATAGGATGTTGGACAGCTGCCGTGTTAAGGCGTAAAAAAAATACCTGTGGTCCCGGTTTCATATCGTGAAAAAATTAGGGTCGGTAGGTCGGAAATAAATTTTTTTTTTAATATTTTTTTCATGGTTTTGCCGATTTTTTGCTGGGCGATTTGCAGTAGAGTCCCGACATCATTATTAACTAGAGGTGCGTATTTCCTATGGACGAATTGAGGCAATTTGGTTCAATAATTATTGTGACAACAGACGCCATTTTGGCACACTGTATGAGCAGCCCGCAACCACCTGGAGAAAATAGGGTAGCACGGTCAATCGCGTTGAAAAAATAATAGGGTCAGCAGAAAAAAATAGGGTCGGTCGGGAACCGGAACCACAGGTATTTTTTTTTACGCCTAAGTGTGCCTGACTCAGACTTTAACCTGAAATTATTATTTAACCATAAATAAGCCCCGAACCTTACATGCACAACATCCAGTATTCAGCCAGATATTTTTCAACTGTCGAGCACATCTGTTATCCACCCTTACATATCAGTCTACCAAAGCCACACTGGTTTGAATTTTAATCAGACAAATATTTTATAGCTCCTGAAATAGTACCTAGGATATTTTACCAACTCATAAGATATTTTACCTAAGCATACATGTCAGAGGCATATTTTAAACATTATTTTAGTGCTTCAAATATTAAACATACCCTTCCTTTTTCATAACATTTTCATCACCACAATCACAAGCACCTCCAGCTTGACTTCGAAACATATTGTAGTCATGTCCTCTGTGGTCCCCACCATGAAAACAGTCAGCACATATCGACATACACGGTGACGTACCGCAGTCTCGACACCTATACGCTACAAAATTCTTGTGCCATACTAAACCACAAGTCTGTGAACTATCGTACTCTCGTAACTTTCTTAAAAACACATCAGGACATTCGCCTCCTGCAATTAACCACTTGCACCAATCTTTAGTGTCTTTGGTAAAACCTTTTCCCGGATAAAGTAGTGTCTTTAGCACAGAGTTCAACTGTGTTTTGCCCGTTTCTGTTCCATACTGTGCCTTCAAAGAAGCCGAAGCTGTCTGTCTTTCCCGACACAGAAAGTCGGCCATCTTTTTTGTAACCGGAAACCACGAAGCGAATGCCTATACGTTGTCACAAAACAACCCACAACAACATAAAAGCGATAAAGTAAAACAATGGCCACTCATATTAAGATTGAGAGCAGTCTGATATGGACAAATATTTTGAAAAATTTAAACGTAATAAGTTGCGTTTTGGGTCTTTTCCCGACATTTTCTATATCCATGCATCCATGTAAACAAATCTATATACGAGAATTCCTTGGCACGAGCTCTGAAATTCCTTAGTCCCAAAAATTCCTAAAATTTCTTCATCATATAAACCATACTATGTATAAACGTATGGAGGATTGTTATTGACAAATTTAAATTTTTTGACATATTTTCTGATAATTTGCCCAAATTTCCTCTGTTTTCAATTGTTTTGTTTCTCTCCCCCACTCCCTGTCTT